AGCATGAGAGTTCGGCATTCTAGCTATCTTCCGTCTTCGGTCATCGAGGGAGTGGGAATTCTGCGCAGGTGGAACGTCACGGTGGAGGAGGTTCGGGACACTCCCAAGAAGCTTCTCGACGGGAGGGTCCTGGCCACCCACTTTGGCATTCAGCTTGCTTTGAAGGACTGCCCGCCAAGTACTCTCGCCTCGGGGTTGAAAAACATCAACTCCAGGCGCCTTCCGGAGAAATACCGAGACGTGGCGTTTCTCTCCTTCCACGGTAGACTTTACGTTCGAGGGAACTTGAAGTACAGGAACATAACGGATCGTGGTTGTCCTCGGGTGGAATGTTCCGGGGAAGTGGAGTCCATGGACCACTTCCTCCTCGAGTGCCCCTTTAACGTACAGGTCTACAAAGAGGTCTCAGCCGCCTTAGGCATCCCCTGCTTATCCCGCTGGACTTATGCGGAGTGGGCGTACGGGACGTCCAACTCAAGGGGGAGGGCTTTTGATTTGGGCACTCTTTATGTAGTCAGTTCAGTGGTTAAGTATTTCACTTGGATGGCAAGGTGTCAGGTTTCCCTTCAACGTAAAGACCTTTCCTGTCAGGTGGTGGTAGCAGACATTCTGAGGGCGGTTCGTGGGATCTATACCACCGAAAGGGCCTCTATGGATCCCACCATTTGGCAGCGTTTGTGGCGAAATCTCAAGGTCCACCCGCCTTGAACCGCTCCATGGGCGCCCTTGTCTTGGTGAAGGGAATTCCAAATCTGTCTTCACCTTTCCCCCGTAGATTTTGAACTGGTTTTTCTTTTCATGGAAGGCTGCCACCTTTAGCAGACGAGTACCTTCCTCTGCGTCTAGGTAGTGCAGTGTAGTTAGGTTATGGTTATGGTTATGCACAGGTTATTTTTGGTATTGTTTGGGTTAGGGTGGGTTTCTGGTGTATGGACAAATTGAAAAATTTACTTTGGGTGGGGAAAAACAAACAAACAAACACTGGGTTTCTTTATGGACGGAGGGATGGACTCCTTGAGGGTGGTGTACAAACTGGATTTCATGTGGGTGGTGGGTCTATGGACAAAATTTTGATTTCATGTGGGTGGTGGGTTTGGATGTGATGAACTGAGAAAATGGACTCCATTTGGGTGGTGGGTTTGGGTTTAAAGTTTGGGTTTAAAGTGTAGGTGGTGGGTTGGTGTTGATGGACGGAGGGATGGACTCCATGTGGTTGGTGGGTTTTATGAACTGAGAAAAGGACTCCATGTGGGTAATGGGTTTGTTTATGTTTATGTGTGTATTTTATTTCACGCTTGGTTTATGTTTGTGTTTAGCTGGCTGTGGACTCGAGGTCAATTGGGTCCCCCCTTGTCCCCCCCTTGTTATGTAAGAGCTCCTTCAGGAGCATTTCAGCCTTTTTTCTCCCTCCCCAAGGCTCCATGAAGTAATGGAGCCCCCCGCCTTTTAATTTATCCCCTTATGATTTAGTTCCCCCCCCTTTTCTGTTAATCCCTCTCCCTGTTATTCCCAGTTATTTAATTTGGTATAAGTTTACTCCCCTATTAGTGCCCCTTCCTGAGTTTTTATTTCGGTATTTATGTTTAATTTTGGGGTATTTATGTTTCATTTGGTATTATGTTTGAATTGGGTATTATTTCAGTTGATTGTTTATTATTGTTATTTTGTTATTTATTTTGTTATTCTGTTTAATTTTGGAAGCATTTTACAAAACTAAATAAAATAAAATACTGTCTCCCCCGGGTACATTAAGCTGCCGCTGGGGAGAGGGGGTAACAAGCTCCTCTCCCATACATACTTCCAGCTGCGGGGGAGGGAGACCGACTGTCTCTGCTCCCAATACAGAGTCCTGCTGCTGGGGAAAGGAGACTGGGCTCTCTATTCCCGGTAGGACACTCTGCCGCTGGGGAATGGAGACGGGGCTCCCAATTCCCAATAATCTGTGCTGCCGCTGGGGAATGGAGACTGGGCTCCCAATTCCCAAAACATCATACTGCCGCTGGGGAATGGAGACTGGGCTCCCAATTCCCAAAAAATCACGCTGCCGCTGGGGAGGGAGGACACTGCTCTCCTCTCCCTGGACTTCACACTGCCTTCCCGGCATACCACTCTGCTGCTGGGGAGCAGGAACAACTACCTCTCTACCTCTGCCCCCTGTAACTCAGCCTGTCGCCGGGGAGGGAGGATGCTGCTCTCCTCTCCCTGCACTTTACACTGCCGCTGGGGAATGGAGACTGGGCTCCCAATTCCCTGCAGGACCGGTGGAGAGACCTCGGTCCCATCTCCACCGGCCACCTGGGGTTCTTCCCAGTAAAACTGTACCATCTCGTCTCCTCTGAATGGGTCTGGCTCTGGGTCTGTCATGCTGCTCTCCCGCTGAGCCTTCTCACTGTATTGGAACAGCTGCTGGTAGCCCTGTTCTAGCTCCATCTCCCGGGTCACCAGGTGGACCAGGTCTTGCTCAATTTTGTGAGTGTCGTCCCAGTCATACCTGCTCTCCCTCCACTCCAAGAGATCACTGAACCGGGCTTGTGTAGGGCTCCCAAATTCGAGCTCTGAAAACGACTCCCATAACAAGCCAGGACCATCAAACTCCTCTCCCTCTGGCTTGTCATGCTCGGCTGTCCAGGGCAGGTACTGTGCCCCATACCACCAGAGCGCCTGGTAGGCATCTTCTAGCCACAACTCCTGCCATACTAGGTGTTCCAATTTCCTCACCCATTCATCCAGGGGCTGCTCTCCCAGAAAGGGCATCCGCAGGGCTACTCGCTTCTGCAGTCGCTGGTCTTCCTTGGAGAGTCTCTTGCCCCGCTGGTACTCCACAATACCCAGTGCCTGGTACCAGATGCTTTTACGGACTGCATCTTGGTCATCCATGGCACCCTCGTCATACTCCACTGCTGGTTCCATCTCGGTGCTGTCAGGGTCGCTGTACTGGGACATGCGTTGCCCTCAAATTGTAAAAATCCACGGAATGGTGTCGCCTGTAGCTGTCCTGTAATCTGTGGGAACGATCCCGCTGCTTGCCACCAATTGTAACGGACCGTTTTGCACAAAAGGGAAAAAAAACGCTTAGACGATAATCCCCTTTCAGAGACAGGCACAGCTAATGTAGAATCACCAAAACTCACGAACTGAATACAAGTGAATGCTCCAAACTCCCGAACGGCATACAAGGGAATGCTCCAAACACTCGAACTGCATACAAGGGAATGGTCCAAACACTCGAACTGCATACAAGTGAATGCTCCAAACTCTCGAACTGCATACAAGTGAATGCTCCAAACTCCCGAACGGCATACAAGGGAATAAGGTAGCACTCCAAATACACGAACAGGAACCATACGAATTGCTGCTACCAGACAAACAGGAAAAGCTCCCAAGCGGCTTACGCTCCTGGCAATCAGTCCTTAGCAGCATACAGTAAATCCCCACAAAGACGAGACAAGGCTCCGTGTTGAGGTTCAAGCAGTGGTCTGTTTAATGAGGGCTAACTGCCCAGTATTTATGCAGGTCTCCCACCTGGTGGACACTCCCCTAGGGGACCACATGGGAGACTGTGACAAGGGACAGACAAGTAGACAAATAGGACACACAGTCACAGTATTTCCCACAATGCATCCTGGCCTCCTCCCCTCTGCCCTGGGAGATAATTGGGAAGTAACTCAATTATCTCCCAAGACAAAGGCAAAACTCCATTACACACGTGGAGACACAAAACCAGTATTATACTTTAAAATACATAAAGTAACATTTATTCCACAAAACACAGACATGTAACATATCCCCAGATAGCTCAGGTCTGAGTGCACATTATTAGGTGAATGGCACTCAGACCACACGAATACAGTTTAATCGCCATGGAGCTAAAGTCTTTACACAGTCAGTTTCATACGAATGGGCTCCATGGGATTCCTATCTGGGGTATAACATTTTCTAACAAAACTACCGAACACCGGGCCGTTCGTGCACTTCCACCGAACAAGAAGGGAGGTCGGCGGCTTCAGCGGTGTTCGCACAAAACTGTGTCCGATTTTAGTTCCATGAAAATAGAGGCGAACACCGCTGTGCATTCGTATGGTTAAAATGGCCGCGACCTCGTGTTCGGGATACGAATGGCGGCCACCCAGCATTCATCAATTAAGCTGCGGTTAACCGCAGCTTCAGGGAGGTTAATTGCCGGCACACTCCAGCTCCCAGGTGGTCCAGTCATTCGTACGGTTGTTCGGTAGATTGAATCTACCGAACCCCAGGCAGAAAAGCAAGAATACAGCTTTTCTGCAGGCAAAATAAAGTCTTTTAAAAGGGGGCCATAGTCCAAAGGCAGCAGGCGAGCAACCAGGCTTCTCCAATGCAATGTGGCAAGATTGGTCTCGTCACAGTTTAGTCATTGAGCCTCCAGTAATCTACACAGAAACGGGTCGTCCCATCCTGGGGAGGCCCAGGGGCTGTCAGAGTGTTCTATCACCCTTAACTGTAACATTTCTTTGATCTCCTTACGCATGTTCTCCTTTACGGATTCCGGTATGCGGTAAGGAGGTTGGCGAAGCGGGGTCTGTCCTGGGGTTTCTACCTTGTGGGTGGCCAATGGAGAAAATTAGAGAAGGTGGCCCCTTTTTCCTTGATTAAGCTTTGAACTTGGGTTCGCTCCTGGGGACTTAAACGCTCCCCTAACTGTACCTCTCCCAGGCCTCCAAAGATTCAATCTACCGAACAAACAACCAAATGACTGGACCACCTATATTGGGAGTGTGTCGGCAATTGACCTCCCAGAAGCTGCGGTTAACCGCAGCTTAATTGATGAACGCTGGGTGGCCTTTGTTCGGTTGCCGAACATGTGGCAGCGGCCATTTTACCTCCCGAACGGCCAGCAGTGTTCAGCGTCCAAACTATGGAACTGAAAACGGACACTTATTGGCGCGAACACCGCTGAGCCGCCAGCCTCCTTACCTTCCCATTCGGTAGCGGAACCGAATGACTGTTCATTCGGTAATTTAACCGGATGAACAGCATTACCCCAGATAGCTAAGCCATGGAGCCTGTTCGTGTAACGAAAGACTATGGAAAAGACTTTGGCTCCATGGTGATTGAACTATATGTATGTGATCTGAGCGCCATTCGGTAGTAATATGCGCTCAGATCTAAGCTATCTGGGGATATGTAGAATGTCTATTTTTTATGTAATAAATGTGACTGTATGTAATTTTATGTCTTTTACTGAAAATGTGTGTAATGGAGTTTTGCCTCTGCCCTTGGAGATAATTGGATTACTTCCCAATTATCTCCAGGACAGAGAGGAGGGATTGTGATGCATTGTGGGATTGTTGAAATGTGTAAGTCTGTGATTGGCTCTTTTACCCTTTGTGTCCCAGTCTCCCATCTGGTCCCCTAGGAGAGTGTCCACCAGGTGGGAGACCTGCATAAAAGCCGGGCAGTTAGCCCCAGTAAACCAGATTCAGCTTCATCCTCAAAACGAAGTGTCTTTGGGGGGGATTTGCTGTGTGCTGTTAGAGACTGATTGCGAGGCACACAGTAATTGGAGGCACACTTATTCCTGGGGTGGTCTGATTGTTCGGTAGTTTCACTCGCATAATAACTGGAGTGATTTTACCGAACAATCAGTCGAATGCAGCATACACTTGACATACACATGGCAAAATTAAACCGAAAACATACGAATATACATAATTCTGAGGACAGCCCAATGCCATCCGCTGCACTGCTCCACCTTGCCCACAAGCCGGCATACACAGTCTGATCCAGCACGGATCGGCTTGGGGATGTCCGGGGTGCTCACGGATCATTTTTCCAAGTCTGTTTGTCTAGACAACCCGTCAGTGTTTCCATTTTGTTTGCCCGGGCGGTACTGAATGTTAAAGTCAAAGGGCTGCAGCGCCAAACTCCAGCGCAGCAGCCTGGCATTGTCCCCAGCCACCCGGTTCAGCCATACCAATGGTTTGTGATCCGTGAGCAAGGAAAAGGGCTGTCCATACAAATACGGCTGCAACTTCTTTTGGGCCCACACCACAGCCAGGCATTCCTACTCGATGGCGGCGTAGCTTCTCTGGATAACAAATTGCGACTGATGTAAGCCACGGGATGTACTCCGCTATCGGCCCCAACATGACTCAGCACTGCCCCCAATCCAAACATAGAAGCGTCTGTGTGAACAAGAAAATGTTTAGTTGGATTGGGAGCTGCCAAGACAGGGGCAGTGATAAGTGCATTTTTCAGATGTTGGAATGCCTGCTCACACTCCGGGGTCCAGGTTACTTGGTGGGGAAGGTTCTTTTGGGTCAAGTCAGTAAGGGGTTTGGCCAGGGCGCTATAATTGGGGACAAACTTCCTATAGTATCCTGTTGTCCCAAGAAATGCCAACACCTGAGTCTTAGTGCTAGGGGTGGACCATTGGGCTACGGCCTCTACTTTGGCTGGTTCTGGTTTCTGTTTCCCGCAGCCTACTCTGTGTCCGAGGTGTTGTACCTTGGCCATGCCTATACGACATTTGGCAGGTTTCAATGTTAAGCCTGCTTCCTTGATCCTATCTAGAACTGCTCCTATATGGGCCAGATGTTCCTGACAGGTATTGCTAAAGATGGCAATGTCGTCTAAATAAGCACAGGTGTAATCTTGGAACCCATCTAGGAGTCGGTCCACCATCCTCTGGAAGGTAGCCGGTGTGTTTTTCATCCCAAATAGCATCACCTTAAATTGGTACAAGCCGAATGTGGTGACAAAGGCGGACTTAGGGATGGCGTCCGGGGCCCAGGGGATCTGCCAATACCCCTTAGAAAGATCAGTAGTAGTGAGATATTGGCCCCTGGCCATCTGGTCTAGTAGTTCATCTATCCTGGGCATAGGATAGGTGTCAGACATGGTCTTTTCATTTAACCTCCGGTAGTCTACGCAGAAGTGGGTCGTACCGTCCCGCTTTGGTACGAGGACTACAGGGGAGGCCCATGGGCTTTCTGACTGCTCAATCACCCCCAGTTGGAGCATCTCCTCGATCTCCTTGTGCATGTTCTCCTGTACCGCTTCAGGGATGCGGTAAGGCGTCTGGCGCATGGGAAGTTGCCCTGGGGTTTCTACCCGGTGAGTGGCCAGAGGGGTGTACCCAGGTATATTGGAGAATGTATCTTGTTTCTCCTTTAGCAGTTGTTGTACCTCAGTACGCTCCTGTGGGCTCAACCAGTCTCCCAGCGCAACTTCTCCTAGATCCCCGGACAGCCGACCATCCCCCAGCAGGTCTGGGAGGGGAAGGCTGTCGAACTCCTCAGAGGAGGGGGCACAAATGACCGTCACCTCCTCTGAACGTTCCTGGTAGGGCTTCATCATATTCACATGAAGCATGCGTCGCCCTCCAGTTCCAGCGCAGGGGCCAATTATATAAGTGGTATCACTTCTATGTTCCACCACTCTGTAAGGGCCCTGCCATGCGGCCTGTAACTTATCATGTCGGACAGGTTTTAAAATTAAAACTTTCTGCCCGACCTGGAAGCTACGGTCCCTGGCGCCCCGATCATACCATGTGCGCTGGTGAGTCTGAGCCGCCCGAAGGTTCTCCCTTACCGACCTAGTCAATGCTTCTAGATGGTCTCAAAATGCCAACACATATGGTAGAATGGGGGTACCGTCTGCGCTCCGGTCTCCCTCCCAATGCTCCCTGTGGCAGAACCAGCCTCGCCAATGGGCATTGGAGAAGACTGATTGCCCGCCTCCTGCCCTGTGACTATGGCCCCATGTTGAAATGCTTGATTTTCCCCTGCAAAGACCCGAAAGTCAGGTCATTCGGTACTTTCCCCATGTGAGCAGTGTTACCCCAGATAGCTATGCCTTGGAGCCCATTCGTATAACGAAAGACTATGGAAAAGACTTTGGCTCCATGGCAATTGAACTGTATGTATGTGATCTGAGCGCCATTCAGTAATAATGTGCGCTCAGATCTAAGCTATCTGGGGATATGTTGAATGTACCTGTTTTATGCAATAACTGCACAGTTATATATTTTTATGTATTTTATTGTATTTTGCTACCATGTGGCTAATGGAGTTTTGCCTCTGTCCTTGGAGATAATTGGATTACTTCCCAATTATCTCCAGGATAGAAGACTCTGTGGAACTGGTTTTGGGCAGAAAAGCCATGCTACATTTGGTCACAAAGGGACTTTCAACTAACTTTTGACCCACTGGACCAATTTGTATGATTTTGACATATGTTTGTATTTGGAGTATGCTGATTCTGAAAATGTAAGTGTGAATGTGATGTATATGCTTATGTGAATGTGATGTATACTTTTAGAGTTATGAATATTGTGTAAAACTGTGTATTTTCCTGCCTGTGATAATTAAGTTAGACCATTGTGTTCAGTAATTATATCACAGGCAGAGGGGAGGATTTTGTGTGGGAGTGTCTGAGTGTATTGATTGGTTGTTCTGCAAAACCCTTTGGACAGTACTATGTGTGTAGAATGTGAATAAAAGAGGCTGTATGTGCCAGTACAGACAGTTCTACTTCACCCTCAATCTGAGTCCTGTCTCTTATTGGGGGAATCTGCTACAAGGGATTGCTATGCTCTGCATATTCCCTTGCTATAATCACTGAGCTCTTGTAAGAGCTTGTTCCTGTCTTGCTCTCTGAAGGAGTCTACGGTGGTTATGGTGTCGGCTGGAGTGCTTGGAGCCCATAGGAAGCGCTAGGAGCATCCTTTAACGGAGGTACCCAGTCGGGGTGCCAGGTGATCCGTTACACTCCCTAATCAGGTCGAGGGGTCCTCTTACTCTCCTCCCAAATAGTAATTCAAATGGGGAAAACCCGGTCGATTCCTGCGGCCCCCCTCCAGTAAGCAAATAGGAGATGGGGAAGGAATCGCTCCCAGTCCCTATGGGTTTCCGCAAAGGTTCAGAGTATTTGTTTCAATGTTCCATTGAACTGTTTGCATAGCCCATTGGTCTGAGGGTAGTAAGGGGCACTGATTATAGGCTTAATGCCACAGAATTTCCAGAGGTGCTGAGTGACCTCCGCAGTGAACTGAGTGGCCTGATCCGAGATGATCTCCCTGGGTAACCCCATCCGGGAGAAAATCCACATCAGGGCCTCAGCTAATGTTTCTGCACGGATATTGGTCAGGGCCACCGCCTCTGGATATCTGGTGGCGTAGTCTACCACAGTTAAAATATACTTTTTACCAGAAGGGCTGGGTCTCTGAAGGGGGCCTATAGCTACCCTACTGAATGGTTCCTCAATTATGGGAAGCAGGTGCAGTTTTTCCTTTCGCCGGTCCCCCGTCTTCCCTACCCGTTGGCACGTATCACAAGTACTGCAGTATCTGCGGACTTCCTGGCTGATTCCCGGCCAAAAGAAACTCTGGGTCAGTCAGTGCCGGGTGCGACTAACCCCTAAATGTCCGGATAGTGGAATATTGTGCGCTATCCGGAGCAATTTGGATCGGTACCGCTGTGGTACCACTAGCTGCCTCATAACGATCGGGTCTGACCCAGCTACCTGCTTGTCAGATTCCATATATAGTAACTGTTTATCCCATACAAATCTTTCGCCCTCCCCCCAAGGTTGGTCCCAGGTGACCTTGTCTCTGTAGACCTGTAATGTGGGGTCAGTGATCACCTCTGCCGCAAATTCAGTAGGAGGGGCCCAGAGGACACATTCTAAGGAAAGGGAAGGATCCCTTACCTGGATCTCCAGGAGTGGGTTGTAGTCCTGGGTGCGGGCTTGTTGTCGATTGACCACTGGGTGTGCTTCTCCAGTGGTTGGTGCCTGGGGCTCAAAAGCAGAGGTGAGCTTGCCCAGATCATTTCTCTGCAAAACCTCCAAGGGCAAGTGCGGCATTAACCCCACTTCCACATTTCACGACCCCGCTCCCCAATGCAAATGTACCCGGGCTGTAGGTAGCCGGTACATTGCTCTCCCGGCTACCCTGACTGCTACAGTTCGGCTTGATCAGATACGAGGTGACTTTTGACCAGAGTTATGGTGGCCCCAGAGTCGCGGAGCCCTTGTACCGCTTTCCCCTCCAGGTAAACAGTTTGTCGATGATGTTGGCGATTGTCTGCATTAGCTTTGAGGGGATCCGCTTCGTGTAACACTTCCCACTGTTCCACAGTAGTGATAGGAATTGCCGAGCCATATGTGGTTGGTGTTTTGGTTTGATAGCAGTGGGCTGCTGCTCGAGGTGGTGGAGGAGGACCTG